AATGAGATGGATTGGCCAAGTGGCAACATCGATGGACTCAAGCATGGCAACAATAGCGAAGTTGGCCCAGGATCAGGCAGTGTTTCGTTCTGCTGTACATAAGGTCACTATGAATTGGTACCGATTCAATGGTACCTAACAACAACAACAACAACACACCTGTATATCTGCTTCTAAAGGCATCCCAGCAAGACAGTTCATAATTGGTTATCAGAATCTCAGTCTGGTGTGGGGCTGTCCCCCAGCTTGGGGTTCTCTGAGATTCTCCCTGGAAGAGTCAGCACTTCATGTCGCTGTTGGACATAGGACTCCATCCATCCAAAGGTCTGGGCCCTAACCAGTGTGACCAGCAGACTACAGGTCTGAGTGACATTCCTCTGGTCTCACCTGTTTCTAGTCCACCCTTCTTCTTTGCTGGGGTCACTCCCTCCTCAGTTTCTCCTTTCACCCTTCCCCAGTTGTTCGGGGTCCCTGAGGTTGCCCTGGGACCTTCACTTCACTCTCTACACATCCTCTCATCCCCCTCCCTTTCAGAGGCTTTAAGTCCGTGTGCCTCTCTCCTGGTCACTCCATCATTCCACAAACGCTGACCTCTATCTCTGCCCTGGGGACACACCAGGGAATTTTCTAGTCCTCAGGGAGGCATGGTCCGGCTTGGGAAGAATTTCCCTCCCGAAGTCTACCTCCCTCCTCACTGCACCCCTCCACATCTGTCTCCGGACTTCTTATTGCCTCGGTTTCCCCATCTATTGGTTTCTTATCAAACTCTCATTAGCATAATTATATTAGCAGGTGGGTTCTATTTTTGTTGTTAAATGTGAACCTCAGAGAGGTGGCTTAGGGATAAGCTCAGCGAGCTCAGCATCTGGGCCCGCCCTTTCCACGCCCCACATCCACGCTCCGCCCTCAGACCACGCCCCTGACCCGCAATTCAGCCCTCTGGTCCCGCCCCGCCGTCCGGGTACTCCGCCCCGCCCCGTCCCCGCCCTCTCCCCGCCCCTCCCCGCCCCGGCTCGGGCGGCCGGAGGATCCGGAGCAAAGGCGCTAAAGTCCGGGGTTGCAAGGACGATGTGGTTCTTCTCCAGGGACCCGGTCCGGGACTTCCCGTTCGAGCTCATCCCGGAGCCTCCCGAAGGCAACCCTCCCGGGCCCTGGGCTTTGCACCGCGGCCGCAAGAAGGTGAGCGCGGCCCCGCTGCTCAGGCCGCGGATCAACCCCGGCCTTGCCTAGACCGCGCCGCCGGCCCCGCCGCGTCGCGCCCGGCCTGACGTGGCTGCGGAGTCTCCCGAGCTACGGGCCGGAGGAGGGGGCGGGCAGGCCCGGCAGCGCCGACGTGGCGGGCGGAAGGACCGAGGGACCGTCAGGCAGACGAGGCCGGGTCACGTGGACAGGCCAAGTCCCCAGAGGCTGACCTGGGGCGACCTGGCCAGCCGCCCTTGACTTCCGGCCCCAGACCAGCGCTGGGGACCCTCTGCTGGTGAGCCCGCCGCGCCCTCAGGCCTCTATGCCTCCCCGCAGGCCACGGGCAGCCCGGTGTCCATCTTCGTGTATGATGTGAAGCCTGGAGCCGATGAGCAGACCCAGGTGGCCAAAGCTGCCTTCAAGCGCCTCAAAACCCTCCGGCACCCCAACATCTTGGCCTACATCGACGGTCTGGAGGTACCCACAGGCACTGCCCCTCTCGGTCTCTCTCTGTCCTGGTTTCTGCCCCTCCATCTGTCTTCTTGTTCCTCGGTGTCTACCCCTCTGACCTCAGCCCCCGCATAGTTGGTCCCTCATCTCCCCTCGTCCTCCCCACCCACCCTGACGTCCCTACACCCCCTTCCCCAGACAGAGAAATGCCTCCACATAGTGACAGAGGCCGTGACCCCACTGGAAATGTACCTCAAGGCACAAGTGGAGGCTGGTGGCTTGAAGGAACTGGAGCTCTCCTGGGGGCTCCACCAGATTGTGGTGAGTAGGGAGGTTGAGGGGACCAGGGCAGGGGTGTGATTGCAGGTGCTGGCAGTTAACTCTCCCTCTGCCCCCAGAAAGCCCTCAGCTTCTTGGTCAACGACTGCAGTCTCATTCACAACAACGTGTGCATGGCAGCTGTGTTTGTGGACCTTGCAGGGGAGTGGAAACTTGGGGGCCTGGACTATATGTACTCAGCCCAGGGTGACGGCGGGGGACCCCCTCGTAAGGGGATCCCTGAGTTTGAGCAGTATGATCCCCCGGAGTTGGCTGACAGCGGTGGCAGAGCGATCGGGGAGAAGTGGTGGGTGACTTGGGGGGTGGGCATTCCCCAATTTGTCCTTTCCTATATGTCTCCCAGCTCCCTGACCCCTGCTGCCCGCCTGGGTGGGTCTACTTCTCTGTTCCCAGAATCCTAAGGGTGGTGGGGCATCAGGGTCAGATGGTTCTCAATTAGAAAGCTGTGTGAGCTGGGGTAGATGTCCTTGCTTCTCTGGGCCTCAGTTTGTTCATCTGTTAAATAGGGCTAATGAAATGTCATGCTTAGGGCTGTTGAAAGGGTCATCAGTGAATACTGGTCTAGGGTTGCCCACCATGCAGGTCAGAGGCCAGGCCTTCCCTGGTGGGCAGTGGGGCCCTGAGCAGCTCGGGGTTACTGCTGCAGGTCAGCTGACATGTGGCGTCTGGGCTGCCTCATCTGGGAGGTCTTCAATGGGTCCCTAGTGCGAGCAGCTGCTCTGCGAAACCCTGGTAAGGTGAGTGTCTGGCCCCTGCTTCTCTCCCTGCTTCAGCCCTTCCCTGCCAGCCAGACACCTCCCCCACTCCCCCCCCCCAACTCTAACCCTTCTCCCATAGATCCCCAAATCGCTGGTGCCTCACTATTGTGAGTTGGTTGGAGCCAACCCCAAGGTGCGCCCCAACCCAGCCCGCTTCCTGCAGAACTGCCGGGCCCCTGGGGGCTTCATGAACAACCGCTTCGTGGAGACCAACCTCTTCCTAGAAGAGATTCAGGTGACTCCTCCTCTCCCCCCACTGTACTTTGGTCCCTGAGTTTCCCCACCCCCTTTCTGGTTGTTGTTGTTGAGTGCCGTGGAGTCAGTTCTGACCCATAGTGACCCTGTATAGGGTTTCCAAGGAGAGGCTGGTGAGTTTGAACCACCGACCTTGCGGCTCAAACCAACTTTGCAGTCCAGCACACTAACCCACAGTGCCACATCAGGACTCCCCCTTTCTGGTGGGTCCCTTATTATTATACCCACTGGAGACAAGCACATTGGGCTGCTAACCACAAGGGCAATGATTTGAACCCATCACCCGCTCCAAAGGAGAAAGACTCAGAAACACTGGGGAGCAGTTCTGCCCTGTTCTGTAGCATTACTCTGAGTTGGAGCCAGTTGGATAGCAGCGGGTAGAGTTTTGTGTGTTTGGAGACCAGCACAGGTTGTGGAGTTAGGCTTGTCTGGGTTCATATCCTGCCTCTAACTCTTATTTGCTGTTTCACTTCCCTTGACCCAAGCACAGGCCTCGTGGCTGTAAAATAGTACGGTGAGAGGTCAGTGCACAGTACAGTGTTCAGCACATAGTAGGTGCTTAGTGGCTGCCTCCATGAATTCCACAAATGCATCTGGTCTGACCCCTACCCCCGCCCCATGTGTACTATGGCTAGCCTGCAGCATGAGCAATAGGGTGGAAGAGGGAGACCTCAGACCCTGCCCTCAGGACTCTAGCAGGGAGTGTGACCTCCCCGCAGTTGGCTGACAGTAGTGGCAGAGTGATCGGGGAGAAATGGTGGGAGGCTAGGCCTCCTACCCTCTCAGACTCCTTGGGGACAGAAGACACTCACAAAGGAAGTGTGGGGATAAATGCCGAGAAGGGAAATAGAGGGGACACAGGAAAGGAGGTGAAGGTGGGGGCCCTGGGATGGCAGCTGGGGCCGGAGCATTCCTGGCAGAGGGAACAGCATGGTGAGGAGGGAACCCTCTGCTTAGCCTCTCTGAACCTCAGGTGTTACATCTGTATAATGGGAATAAGAGCATCTAAGGTTGTGGTAGCGTAGTGGTTACGAATCGGGCTGCGAACCTTAAGGTCAGCAGTTCGAAACTACCAGCTGCTCCGCGGGAGAAAGATGAGGCTTTCTACTCCCGTAAAGATTTACACCCTCGGAAACCCTATACAGGGTCGCTATGGGTTGGAACCGACTCGATGGCACATAACAACAACAACAAGGTTGTTGTAGGGAATGAAGGATGAGGCCTTGCCCTACACACCTGCTGACCCAGCCATATGGGAAACACAGACTCTGGGGTGGGGGCGGAGAGTGACAGACACGTCTACAAACCCTGAGGGAGCATGGACTCCCGATTTGGGCTCGGAGCAGGGAGGCCCATCAGAGGGTGAGGGAACTGAGCTGCATCTTGAAGGAGCCACCACCTGGAAAGCTGACCCCTGTTTTGTCTCCCAGGTGCTGAGGGGGCAGCGGGAACTTTGTTACATGGAGTTCTCCTCACATGGCTGACCCAGCAGGGCTGTCTTGTAGTCCAAGAAACACCTGCCCTTTTTACTACAATGCCTACAGAAAACGGACTGTTTCTGGCTAGTCCTGAGGATGTGGGAGGGCAGTGCCCCCCTTGTCTTATTGCTAGATGCAGCAATGGAGAGAATCCGGGTTATGGATCCATGTAGGATCTTGGGTGGGGTTTTCCCTCTAGGTTTTGAATTCACGCTAGACAGAGCTGCTCCGGAGCAGCCAGGTTCTCCTCTTCCTCAGCCAGAGCTTACGTCTCCTGGGCTAGCGGATGGCTGTGGGGCCCACGGAACAGCAGAGAACACAGGGGCTCTGGGTACAGGCAGGACTGGATGATTTTGTGATGGCACCTCTTCACAGGGTACAGGGCAGCAGAGGGATCTGAGCCAAGTGCCAGACCACTGGGTTAGACTCGCCCCTGATTGCTTTCTAGCTGTGTTACCTTAGACAAGCTCCTTGCCTTCTCTGTGCCTCAGCTTCCTCAATCAGATGTGGACTATGTCGGCACCTACCTCATAAAGTTGTCTGGAAGATCATTTGAGATCATCTGTGTCGAGGATACAAGTAGTCCAAGCTCAGGAAGCAGGGACTGTGGGCTTTGGTGGGTGAGAAGGGTTAAAGGGCCTTGGACCTTCAAGCTGATGGTCCTGTAGGACGACTGGATCTAGGGGTGATCTGCATTTGATCCCTGCCTTCCTATAGCCGTGATGGAGTTGCACCGGCCACGGTTAGAGAAACAGGCCTCTTCTCAATGAGGCTCAGTTTCCTCATCTGTGTGACGGGTTAATGGTACTCCCACCTTGGGTGGTTGTGAATAGACACATTGGTGACAAAGGGCCTGGCCCTCTAGTGGCTGCCCTCAGGGACTCTGGCGGCAGTGATCAGAGTGACAATCTCCAAGTGATCAAACACCTACTGTGTGCCGGGCATTGATGTGCCCTGCGTAGGAATTTGCCTAACTTGGACCCGAGGGTCTTATGTGGGGAGTGAGGATTTACTTCTGCCCCTTCAGGCTGGGGGTGACCCCCACCCTCGTCCATGGCTTGGGGGCTCTGAGATCAGACCTGTTTCCTTCCTGTGTCTTGTCCTGCTCTCCAGATCAAAGAGCCAGCCGAGAAGCAGAAGTTCTTCCAAGACCTAAGCAGGAGCCTGGACTCGTTCCCTGAGGGTTTCTGCCGTCACAAGGTGCTGCCCCAGCTGCTGACTGCATTTGAGTTTGGTAACGCTGGGGCGGTGATCCTCACACCCCTCTTCAAGGTGAGTGGGTCACCTGACTAGCCCCAGAAATGGTTGTGGGCAGCCTAGGGAGGGGCTGCCTGACTGGCATCTTGGTTCAGCCTGCGAGGCCAGCTGGCCAGCTGCCTGGGAACCTGTGTGAACTTTAGGCCCTTGCGAATGAGAGATCTGTGCCTCCAAAGATCTTCGTCCATTGACCCCTTGCTTCAGAGTCCTTGGCCCTTCCCTCATTTCCCTGAGATAACCATCCTGCACATTCCTGGCCCCCCAGTTTCCAGGGCCCAGAGGATCTCCTGCCTATCACCCTACTTCCCATCTTCCCTACTGACCCCTTGGCACCAGCTCCCCTGGTTCTAATTCTGAGAGCTTGGCCCTTATGTGGGTGCCTGCCATTTCCTGCTCTGTTCCCCCTGGGAGAATCCTTGCCCTTGTTGGGGGTTGAAGGGGTGGGGAGGAGACAGCAAGAGAATTCTGTGTCGGTGGGGTCCTTGAGCAGTTGTAGGCAGAATGAGGTTAGGGTGTGTGTGTAGAGGTAGGTAGCCCTGAACAACTGTCGGCAGAATGGTGTGTGTGTTTGGGTGTGCATGTGCGTCCCTGCTTCTGGAGAGGGACACAGCTTTCATCTGCCTCCTGAGAGGGGGCCCTTGCCCCAGAGCAGTGAGGATGGAGCTGATAGATGGAGCGTGGGCACAGGGGCTACTGAGGCTCCTCCCTCCCTGCCCTGGCTCTACTGTCATCCTGGTCCTACCCCCCCGGAAGTAGCTGAGCCCTCCCTTCCCCATTCCCATCCCCAGGTGGGCAAGCTCCTGAGTGCCGAGGACTATCAGCAGAAGATCATCCCGGTTGTAGTGAGAATGTTCTCATCCACCGACCGGGCCATGCGCATCCGCCTCCTTCAGCAGGTGCACACCTTGCTGGACCCTGCTCTTATACCCAGACCCAGAGCCCATCCTGCGGGGGAGGAAGACCTGCCTCCGTCCATCCTCTGCCTCTTCCAGCCCCAGGCAGTTGGCCAGAGCCCCTGCCCTGGCTGTATTGTTGCTAAGTGCTGTCGAGTCGGTTCCGACCCATAGCGACCCTGTAGAGGGTTTCTGAGGAGCAGCTGATGAGCTTGAACTGCCGACACTGCAGTTCAAATGGCTTTTCAGTCTGGTGCATTAACCCACAGTGCCACACCAGGACTCCAACTAGGCTGTATAGGGATCCCAAAATCCTTCCTCCTACCACACATAGGTGAGGGCCCAGTGGGGTAGGGCTCTCAGGAAAGGGAGGTGGCCCCAGGTTAACTCCTAGCCGGTCACTGAGCCCTGGAGACCCCATTTCTCACCTCTGGAGTGGGACTAGCCTCCTGCCAACCCCAGGGCCACTGGAGGGTCAGGCACAATTGTCATTTCTTCTCTCCTGCCAGACGCAGTGGCCCTCATCATAGCTCTGTGTGGGATGTGTGGGAAAGAGTTCTGGGAGGGACTGTGGTGCAGTCTGCCAGCTGAGCAGGGCCAGAAGCCAGGCCTACCGACTCCTAGTCTTGGCTTTTCCAGCACCTTTGCAGCCTTTTCCCCTTCTCCATGTGGACCTGGGGCTGTGGGGGGGGGGGGCGTGGTTAGTACCAGCTCGGTGGAGCAGCCAAGTCAAGAGTGGCCCTTGAGGGGGCCTGAAGGGGCTGATTGGCTCCCACCTCCTGGGCCACAGATGGAGCAGTTCATCCAATACCTCGATGAGCCAACAGTCAACACCCAGATCTTCCCCCACGTGGTGCACGGTTTCCTGGACACCAATCCTGCTATCCGAGAGCAGACCGTCAAGGTGGGTGTGGCCAGGCCCAGAGTGGCCGCCCTAGTGCTCTAAGGCTTGGGGGTGAGGGAAGGGATGACCCCAGGATACACAGGCCATGGTTTGGGTCATGGATTTGAGCTGGATCTGGAGGGACAGGCCTGCAGTATGGAACAATGAGGCTGTGGGTGCAGGCTGGGGGATGAGGAGCATGGTCCACAGTTCCCTGGTCAGCAGACACTGAGCATCCCCAGCCCTGTGCCTCATGTCATGCAGGATGAAGCAAGCAAAGGCGGGCATGATCCTGTTCTTAGGGAGCTTCCCTTGCAAGGGGGTGAGGACTGAGTTCTGCTGACAGTAAAGAAAGTGAGAAAATGTTGATTTATATTAGAAAGTGATGGGAACGAAGAGGGGGAATGTGGGGAGAGGGGTTTGCCCTTTCACAAACAGTGGTCTGGGGAGACAGGACGTGCCTCCTGGACATCCCAGGAAGAGCCTTCTCTGAGTAGGAATGTCAGGTACAAAGGCCCTGGGGCAGGAATGGGCCTGCAGTATAGCAATAGCCCACAAGTCTAGTGTGTCAGAGGGAGGGATTGTGGGAGAAGAGTTGAAGATAGAGGGTAGCCAGGGTGGGCTGGGGACTCGTAGAGGCCAGTCACCAGGAGTGAGATGAGGGGCTGGGAGCCTGAGCCAAGGGGCGCTGAACTCTTGTGTGCAGACAGACTAGACTGTTGGGGCGAGGGTGGAAGCTGGGGGGCTGTTTGGGGCTGGCGGAGTAGTGATCTAGGTGAGAGATGACAACAGCTCTCCAAGTGGCAGGAAGGTAGAGCCGACTGAATGACAGACATGTATGAAGTCATAGACGGCACAGAGGGTTTTGAGCGAGCCATGGAAGGATGGCCGTTTACCAAGCCCCTAGGAGGAGGGCTCGTGGCTCTTAGGCAGCTGTAGAATGCTCAGGCTGGCCACACACAGATATCTGCTGTCTGAAGTTTGGAAAAGCTGTCTACAGGAGGCAAACATGAAGGGTGTGATGGGGTAGTAGGGTGGTCAGCCGATGAGGTTCCCTAGGAGGTGATCTAGACGTATGGATGAAGGAGAAGAGGCCTGGGGACTGCCGCTAGGATCCAGATGGTAGGTGACTGGGCTGAAGCTGAGGAAGCCTGAGGGGAGACAGGAGGAGCCGCCGAGGTTGGAGATGGAGAGGAGGGAGGGTCTGGAAGCCCAGAGACTAGCGTTTCAAGGAAGAGCAAGAGGCCAGTAGTGTCAGAGCTGTTAAGGGGGCACTTGTGATGAGAAAGGACAGTGGGCCCCTGGGTTTAGCAACACGGAGGTCAGTGGGGAACTTAGTCTTTGCCAGTGTAGTGGAGCGGGGAGTGTGGAAAAGTCAGAGTGGAAGGTACCTGGGAAATGGGATCCTAGTACCGTTTGACTTTTGAGGGTTTCTGTAAAGGAGAACAGAAATATGGGGTGTCCCCTTTGTCAGCATTCTGGGTAGGGGCCAGGACTTGTTTGGGAGGTCAGTGAGTCTGAGTGGGGGCTGGACCACAGCGCTGGCTGGGAATTAGGAATGAGTGGAAAGCTGGGATGGGGCTATGTGAGGTAAGGGTGGGGGATGGTACTCCTGCGGGTCTATAAAGTTGGGGGCAGTATTCTGGGAAGAAGGATGAGGGCAGAGGGGAACTGCAAGGCTGCAGAGACTCTGGGAGTTAGGGGGTCATTGTAGGGTTATGGGGGAAGTGTAGAGGTTGTGGAGGTGTTTTGGACGGAGTCCTCCAGTGGTGGTTGGGTACAGGATGGATTTGGGGTCCTAGACCACAGGTGGGGAAGGGTGCAATCCAGGTGGGAGATGATAGCAGACACACCAGTTGTGGTCCAAGGGCAAAGGGAATGTCCAGGGCCCAAAAAGGGGAGGGAGAGGAGTAGTTCTGGGAAACCTATGGCAGAGCAGGGCTCAGGCATGTGTTGGGAATGTTGAGTCCTGTTTTCCCTGAGTGGGATTTAGAGTTGGGGGACAGCATTATAGACTGAGGGAATGTGTGTGCAATGGGCCCAGGTGAGGCCAGCGTGGAGGATGACCCAGGAAGCTGGGTCTGGAACATGGACTTAATGCTGTAGCAGGTGCCCCAGGGCTCTGGGCAGGACTTTGGCACATCTGCTCAACACCAAGGGCCACCAGTAGCACCCAGCCAGGGGGTCATTCCTGCATGTGGCCCTTTGCCTGTCCTCTGGCCTGGCCCACCATCTCTGCTGTCCCACTCCACAGTCCATGCTGCTTCTGGCTCCAAAACTGAACGAGACCAACCTCAATGTGGAGCTGATGAAACACTTCGCGAGGCTGCAGGCCAAGGATGAGCAGGGCCCCATCCGCTGCAACACCACAGTCTGCCTGGGCAAGATCGGCTCCTATCTCAGCGCCAGCGTGAGTGTCTGCTTGGGGGCTCAGAGTCCCCAGTCCAGTTGGAGGGCACAGTCTCCTGTAGTTCTGGGCACCCTGTGTGCATGGCCTGGCATCCCCCCCAGAGACTGAGGCCTGATTTCTAGACCCTGGAGGTGGATTGTGTTGCCCTAGATCACACAGCTAGTAGGCGGTGGGTCCCGAATTCAAATTCAGACATGCTGGGCTCCATGACCATGATCAGTGTGTACTCCTTCAGCCAGGGTTTATAAATGCTGATGCCTACAGTGCCCAGACACATAATAGGAGACAAGGAGGAAGGGAGACACAGGTCCCTGTTGTCCTGAACCAGTGTGGTGGTGGTGGTGTGCCACCGAGCCAGTTCTGACTCATAGTGACCCTGTATCGTGTTACCAAGATTATAAATCTTTACGGGAGCAGAAAGCTTCATCTTTTTTTTGAGGAGCAGCTGGTAGATTCGAAGTGCTGACCTTGTGGTTAGCATCCCAACTCGTAATCCACTTTGCTACCAGAGCTCCTTAGTACCAGAACTCAGCGAGTATAACTGAGGAGAAGCCAAGGTCTGGGGGTAGTTCTCCCTTCTGAAATGTGGGAGATGGACACCATCCAGCTCCTGGAGACCTTGGGGTTGACCCTCTATGCTTAGGAGCCTTCTCCTCCACCCGCCCCAGACCAGACACAGGGTCCTCACCTCTGCCTTCAGTCGGGCCACCAAGGACCCATTTGCTCCGTCCCGGGTGGCGGGTGTCCTGGGCTTCGCTGCCACCCACAACCTCTACTCAATGAGCGACTGTGCCCACAAGATCCTGCCTGTGCTCTGCGGCCTCACGGTTGACCCCGAAAAATCGGTACGGGATCAGGTAAGGCACAGCAGAGGACAGTCCAGGGCTGGGGGCGGGGGAGGGAGGTAACCTGACAGGCTCCCAGAAGCCTGAGCCCCTGCTCTGCCCCTTGCACCTCTTCAGGCCTTCAAGGCCATTCGGAGTTTCCTGTCCAAACTGGAGTCAGTGTCGGAGGACCCTACTCAGCTGGCGGAAGTGGGTAAGTGGGTCCACAGCCCTGTTCCCCTCTGGTTACCAACCCCCAGGTGAAGTTTGGGAAAGCTAACAGGACCCTAGAGAGCAGACTTAACAGTACCTCCCTCCCCATTCACAGATGGGCAAACTGAGGCTCAGAGAGGGGAGGGGAACAACTCCGGGTCACTGAGTCGCTGTTATCATCCTCCCCACCTCTTTCTCCTGCCACCGCTCAGAGAAGGACGTCCATGCAGCCTCTAGTCCTGGGATGGGAGGAGCTGCGGCCAGCTGGGCAGGCTGGGCCGTGACGGGGGTCTCCTCACTCACCTCCAAGCTGATCCGAGTCAACCCCACGGCTGCCCCTACCGAGACCAATGCCTCCCAGCGACCCCCGCCTGAGGGTGAGTGTCCCACACTGGCTGCATTGGTCACTGAGATGGCTTGAGGGTGCTGATCCCCAGAAGCTGCTGATGGGGGCAGAGGAGATGGGGATGCAATCTACTCCCCCATGGAATTCTGTTGTCCCTCCCCCCACCACAGTGACCTCAGCCTTGACCAAATCTTCCCTGGGACCCAGTCTGGCCCTCAGTGAGTCTCTTCTCTCTAGGCCTGCCAACTCCAGCCCCCAACCCCAGCCCCGCCGCCCCCACCACTACAGGCCACTGGGAGGCACAGGAGGAGGGCAGGGATGCGGCAGAAGACAGCAGCTCTGCCGACAGATGGGATGATGAAGACTGGGGAAGCTTGGAGGTGAGTGGGGTTCAGGGGGCACCCCAGCCCAGAGGCTGCAAGGAGCTCCCGTCGGGCCTGGCTGGAGTCAGGCCCACCATCACCAAGCTAGCATCCCTGGTGACTAGTGACAGTGGACCTTGTGGGTCAGCACCAGCAACTGAGAGGAAGGGGATGGAGCAGACCTCCGGGTGTCTCAGCCCCCACCCAGGCCTGTTGGGAGGACCACGGAGCATCTAGATCTTTCTTCAGCCTCACGGGGTAATGGCGAGGCTTAGCTTGCCCACTTTAGAGAGGAGAAGTAGGGCCTGAGGGACAAACAAGACTGAAGGTGAGTGTCTCCAGGGCATTGCCCAGTGCCTGGTTGCTTGGCTTTGTGGGTATGGGAGAGGTCACAAGCGTCTCCTTCCCTTCCTGCAGCAGGAGGCTGAGTCTGTACTTACCCAGCAGAACGACTGGAGCTCAGGGGGCCAGACGGGTCAGGCTGGACAGGTAAGCTTAATTGGCAGGTGTGCGCCTACGGGCCTGGGTCTGTGCCTGTGTCTAACGATGCAGCAGGTCCATCACCTCTCCCTCCTCCTCACCCCTTCTCCCGCAGGCTGGCAACCCTGACAACAAATCCCCCGATTCGGACTGGAATAACTGGGAGGCTGAGGGCTCATGGGAGCAGGGCTGGCAGAAGCCAGGCCCCCCAGAACCACCTCCTGAGGGCACAAAGTTGGCCAGCGAGTATAACTGGGGCGCGCCAGAACCCAGCGACAAAGGAGATCCCTTTGCTGCCCTCACCTCACGTCGGGAGGCAGGCACCCAGGTAAAACAGGTGGGAAGGGTGCAGACCTAGAGCCCACCTTGACCAGAAGTCACCCATACCGTAGCCCACATTTCGTTTTTTTAGCAAAGGCCGGACTCTTGGGGTGACGACATCTGGGATGGCCTGGATACCGACAGTAAGTACTTCCCCTGAGAGGGCGATGATTGGCTCCCAGGCCCTAGAGGGGCGTGGGCTGGAGGGCAGACTAAGCTCCGCCCAGAACGTCTCAGCCCCCTCCCTTCCTCTCTTCTCCTCTAGAGCAGGCCAAAGCTGAGTTGGCACGGAAGAAACGGGAGGAGCGGCGGAGGGAGATGGAGGCCAAGCGCGCAGAGAGGAAGGCGGCCAAGGGTCCCATGAAGCTGGGCGCCCGGAAGTTGGACTGAACCGCCGGTGTGTGCGCTCCCGGGCCGGCCGCGGAGAGTAGGCCCCACGGGTGTATTTATTGTACAAACCATGTGAGCCCGGCCCCCCGCCAGGCACATCTCGAGTGTACATAATCAGAGCCACAATAAATTCTATTTCACACCCCCTGTCCTGGGCCCACTCTGGCCCCTCCGGCGGCCAGGGATCTCCGCAGCCTTGGTGGTGGGCCGCCCTCCATCCTGCCCCGGACATCATTTACTTCAAAAGCCAAATGGAAAAAGGCACAATGTGATTTATCAGTTTCTAGGCAACGCTCTCTGGGAGGAAGAACCACAGCGACCTGAAATCTAACATCAGCCCGGGATCCCAACAGGACCCGTAGCCGCTTCATGGGACGCTGCTGGCCTCAGGGGCTGCTGCTTGGGCCCAGGATGGACGCTCTCGGGTCACTGAGCTTGCTAAATGGTCTGCGAGCTCTATCTGGACAGTCCCAGCTGGCCCCAGCGGGAACCACTCAGTGAAGGTCTCGTGAGGTTGGTGTCAGCGGCGGCGCTGGGGAACGCAGGTCCCATGGGGACGACTGCGGACGAAGCCGGCTTTGCAGACACAGCGGAAGGACCCACTGGTGTTCACGCAGCGCTCGCTCTTGCACAGAAGGCCGCGCTGGTTCAGCTCTCGGCACTCGTCGATGTCTGCGAGTGGGGATAGCAGGTCTTCGTGGGGACGTCGGCACCTGGAGCCATGAGGCTGCCTCACCCTATAGTCCACCTCTGCCCGCACCCCACCCCTACCCCGCTGGGCTCACCAACGCAGCGGGCACGGGAGGAGTCAAGCTGGAAGCCGCCTGGGCACTCACACACTGCGCCACCAGGCCGTGGCACGCAGCGGCCGCTCACACAGCGGCACTCGTCTGAATCTTCCTCCGAGCTATCCTCGTCTAAGGAGAATTAGGGTGTCAACATCACCCCCAGCAGAGGGCCCCACCTCCTCCGCCCCCTTGGGCCCACTCACCTGGTGGAGCCTTCCCCAGCAGCAGGGGACTGGCATCCCAGAAGGAATTGCTCTCACTCTGAGATGTTGGGCACTGGGACCCTGGGAAGAGTGGGAGAGCTCAGCAGCTACACTGCTTACACACTGCTCCCACCCCACGCTCTCCCACGGGATCCACCCAGCCCTGTCAGCTCACCAGTGCCCCGTGGTGGGCACGGACGGCACTGAGCTCCCCAGCCACGGCCCTGGCGGCAGCAGCAATCGTCAAAGGAGAGGGCAGGTCCGGCCAAGGGTCCCGAGCACATGCCATCCTCTCCACGCTGGGCCCAGCACACATCACGTCTCTCTGGAGCACGCTCTGACAGAGGATAGAGATGTCAGCATGAGGCCAGAGTCACCTCCCTGTGGGATCCCCTCCATGCGGGATCCCAGCCTGAACTACCCTCACCTGCGGCACTCTCAGGGAGCTGGCAGTCGCGGCCAGAGGGCCCGGGTATCCAGGGCGGGCGGCACTCGCAGCGGTAGGAGCCTGGCAGGTTAACACAGCGCCCAGGGCGACAGGCTGCTGGATCCTGACACTCATCCACGTCTGTGAATGGCAGGGGGTGGATGTGGTGGCCTTCACAGCTCGCTCGGACCCCCACCCCCGCCTGTCTCCCACCGCCCACCTCCCACCTCCCAGGCCGGCTGGGCTTCTCACCCATCTCCTCTGGGCTCAGGCACTGCCTCTGTGCTGGGCTGTACTCGGCTGGAGGCGTGCAGGCGCAGCGATAGCCACCGCGCGTGTTCTCGCACACTCCGTTCCGGCAGTTAGACTCGTCCAGGCATTCATCCACGTCTGCGGGGCAAGAGGTGCAGGGTGACAGGGGCCGGGGCCGGCAGCCCACCCCCACCCAACTCAGGCCGGCTACTCACCCACACACTCCAGCAAATTCCCGTCGTAGTAGAAGCCCTGTTTACAGTAGCACTCATAGCCCGGCTGCGTGTTAACGCACTTGCCCTCCTTGCAGATCTCTGCTCCAAACAGCATGCATTCATCTATGTCTGCAGGAGGACGCGGCGTTCAGCGTTCAACCTACCTAACTCAGCTCCCTCGCAGCGGGGAGGTTGGCGGGGCCTTCTGGGGGAAGACCTCAGCGTGAAGGGGCGGGGCAGTCCATACCTCAATGGGCGGGACTGCACTGAGGCTTACCTCGGTGGGCGGGGATGCCATAATTAATAATGTTGTTATCCTGGGTGTAGCCCTTCCCGTCGGGACAGAGGCTATGGAACTCAGCTGTCGGGAGAGAGCGGCGCCTGGCTGAGCGTTTGCGTGCTGACCATCCAGCTCAGGCCCAAACTCTCCACTTGATTGCCCTCTACCCCGGGAGTCACCATTTCCCCATTTTCTGTTCCCATGGGAAACAGCAGACCCTGGGAAGGAATGGGGCCTGCCCGCTTCCTAACCTGAGCTGTAGACTGGACAGGGGTAGATCTCACAGTGGTCGCCCCAGCCGGCCCCCAGGGAGCAGCAACACTCTTGCTGGGTGACATTGGTGGCCAGTACGCTGTCGCAGAACACCGTGTCATCGAAGTTAAGGTAGCACTCCTTCTTGTGGTGGGGTTGCTCCACCTCTGAGAGGGGAGAGGGCAGCTAGAGGTCCAGCAGACAGACTACCCCGTCTTCCCCACTGCCCATTACATCCCTCTGCTCCGCCCCCTTTCCAGCCTCCCCCAGTCGTCTGCCTTGTGAAAGTTCCGTAACAAGGCATTTAGAGCCTGCGAGGTCTGGCCCCACCAGAATACCTTATCTCTCAGTTCTTTATATTAGGGAGGGCGGGACCAGATGTGATGGTGAGCGGTTGGGGAGAGTTTTCCAGTGTGCGAAGGGGTGTAGAGAGACTCACCCTCACAGCCGTGCTGGTCCTGGGTAGGCGTGAAGCCCTCATCACAGACACACACGTAGGAGCCCTGCAGGTTCTCGCAGGCTCCATGCGGAAGGCAGAGGCCCGGCTCTTGGCTGCACTCATCTATGTCTAAGAAAGTAGGTCCAGGAAGCAGGGGCAGGAACCACTGAGTGGAGAAGGAAACCCTGCCTCTGGGCCCACAAGTTTAGAACCCGAATTGCCACTTTGATTTCAAAGTACCCACAGCAGGAAGTCCATTCGTGCCATCTGTGTGTGTGTATGTGTGTGTATGTACATTCGCTGTGTCCTGCTTAAAACCATCAGGGGTTCCCACTGACAACTCCTCCATTCTATGTTCAGGGCAGAGATACCTATTTTCCCAGATCTCTGTGAGGGAATCCCTCCACATCCCAGTTTAACATCCCCTCTTCGACCGGATTAAGGTCTTCTCACATAATGCATGCACAGGAAGAAAATATAACATGCATAGTGCACAGGAGACTCGTGCTCAGGTGGTTGCTTGTCCAAACCTTACTATAACAGGTCTTACTGTGCAAACATACAGTAATCCCAGTCTAGTCCTGTGTTGGTACCACTGTGATATATGAGAACTGGTTAGTTAACATTTCAGCTTACTCCAGCTGGGAGGCCTGGATCATTGTCCACTCCCTCCCTATGTATGGGTCAGTTAATGGGAAGTCCAGTGAATCTGTAAAGCATCTGGCACATAACAAGCACCATGATAGTGTTACCTATTAGTATCCCCATTACCATTGTCATTCCAGTTAAAGAGTGGAAAGACAAGCGATTGGATGTCTTGATGAAATGACAGGCCACACCAACAGTGTGTTTGGGAATTTACTGCTCCCCCCCCCCCATACCTTGGCACTTCCTGCCTCCCACCAGCCGGTGCCCCTGGGGGCAGAGACATCTGTAGGAACCATTGGTGTTGATACAGTCACCCCCAATACAGGTTGCGGGGAAGTCACACTCATCATTGTCTGGTAAGGAGATGAGGGGTAGTTATTCTCAGGGGCTGACTTCCCCCTACCCCCACAGCCTGCAACTGCAAGGTGTTTCCAAAGCCCAGAGTCCCACACTACCACGCTCCATCTTGGGGCTCCTTGGTTTGAGGTTTCCCCCCCTGCCCCAGAACTGCAAGGGAAGGAGGGTGGGACTTCCTCTACACAGGCCTCACCCACACAGCGGCTCTGGTCCCGTGACAGGTGGTAGCCGGAAAGACAGTGACACTGGAAGGAACCTGGTGTGTTGACGCAGATACCATTGTCACACACATCCCCAGCCTCACACTCATCCACGTCTGTAGGGCAGGAGAGTCAGAGGATTAGGCTGCAGGTGGCCCTGGGCCCCTGCTACCTCATAAGCCTGAAGCACCAGAGCCCAGGGCAGCAGAACTAAAGAGAAGGCCCCTCCCTGTCCCCCACTCCCCAGTACTGTGAAGGGGCTCAGGTCAGCTGCTGCCAGGAACCCTGAGCCAGGCTGAGGCTAAGGAGCTCTAGCCATTTAGGATGCTTGCCCTGCCTTATCCCCTTCCCCACCCTCTCCAAACTGGAGGTCCCTTCCCCCATCCTCTGTTCTCATACTGTCCTGGGCTGCTGTGAACCTCACTTCTGGACCCTAACCCTGCCACTCACTAGCCATGACTCCCTTCTTCCTCTGTAGATAAGTTCTACCCTATCTCTTTGCCCTCCCTGCCCCCCCCCCCCATAATCCACAGTTCACTTTCCCATTTAACTGTGGGTCTGAGAAGGTTAAATGAGTAGGGTGATAAAATCTCGAGCAAACTGCTCCCTTCTGAGCTGGACAGGAATCACTCCTTTATCCAGTGTTTTGTGTTTTTGTTATTAAGTGCCATTAAGTCAATTCTAATTTGTAGCAACTTAGTACAGGGTTTCCTAAGGAGCTCTGGTAGCATAGTGATTACAAATCGGGCTGGTAACCTCAAGGTCGGCAGTTTGAAGCTACCAGCTGTTTCACGGGAGAAAGATGAGGTGGTCTACTCCTGTAAAGATTTATAGCCTTGGAAACCCTGGGTAGGGTCACTATGAGTCGGAACCGACTCCACGGTACTTAACAACAACAACAGTAAGTACAGGGTTTCCCAGGAGCAGCTGGTGGGTTTGAACCACTGCCCTTGTGGTTTGCAGTCCAGAGTTTATGACACTGGGAGGCCTTATCCAGTGTCTCCACCTGCATGTATATGTGTATTCATTCACCTCTTACTGCGCCTACTTTGTAAATTACACGTTATCACAGGTATGTATGTATAGGACAAAAGAGTATATATAAGGTTTAGTACTATCAGGGGTTTCAGGCATCCCCTAGGGGTCTTGCATTATATCCCTATGGATAAGGGGGCTACTGTCATTTCTCCTGCTCACACCATAAAAGAGCCTGGCTTGTCCCTATGGGCTGGCTTCACTGCAGTCGCTCCGCTAGAATCTTGTCCTTGTCTACACCCTAGACCCCCTCACTCTCTTAGTTGTAGGATAAACTCTTTCCAAGAGTTGTCAGCTTCCAGGTAGAGGGCCTGGTTCAGCCTCTGGCCTCACTTTCTTGACCCCTCAGCTTCCGGGGTCTTCACCTCCGTATCATCCACTCACCTCTCAGGAGCATGAGGGCTTTTCTCACTAGATGTGCCCCACCCTGGAAAGTTCAGTGGCTGTTTTCTGCAATTTTCTAGCTGCCCCTGAGCCCCCAACTCAGACAGCTCCTGGGCTGACCCCTTTCTCTCCACAGCCTGCCTGAACCAGGGCGCTTAAGTGGATGACCTAGTGTCCCTGAACTGTGAACAGAAAGGAACTTTCTAAACCAGAAAGAATTTTCTCACTTTTCCCCTTAAAATGCTTCTAGGTGAAGCACAACCTGTCCCTCCACGTAATCCTCTGTTTAGACCTTACAATTCCCTGCGTCTTCTGTTTCTCACCTCTGTTTGCATGTTGTTTCTTCACACCCTCTGTGTTGGCTAATTCCTAGAGATCTTTTAAATCGACTCAGACCGCCTCCTTCCCACACTGGTTTTCCTGGCAGCGTCCCTGTGCCGTCTAGGCACACACCTCTGCGCTCCACAGTGTCTAACCATCCTGTTTCCCTGAGTTCCTGGCCCTAGCCCCTCTCGTGTTGCAAAAGAAACATTAGTGTGGATGTTGGGTTGGGTTGTGTGTAGCTAGCTGTCAAGTCCCCCCATTCTTTGTTATTAATTTTTTTCCCCTTCAAATTTAAGTTATGTGCTTTGAAATCGCATCTTCGAGCACGGCCTCATGCGACCCTGTGCAGAAATTCTGGAGGCCCTTCCTCGGTGAGGTGCGCTGAATATGAGTTATTCACCTCCCAGCCAACCGTTTTACTGATCCGGGGGACCCAGTCCCGTCATTGGTGCGGACACGAGTGGGCAGGTTGGGGCTCAGGGCTGGAGCTCACCCAGACAGCTGCGGTCATCGGGAGCGGGTGTGTAGCCCTGGGCGCACGTGCAGCGGAAGGAGCCCGGAAGGTTCTCACACCAGCCCGGGGCGCAGGGGTTGCGCTCTGCACACTCGTTCACGTCTGCGGCGGATAAAGCTCTCCTCCAAATCCGATCCCGCGAAGCGGAGGAAGCCTACAAGCGCGGGAGACTCCACCCAAGGGCCCCACCTCCGGCAACCTCAGAACGGGCTCCGCCTATTGGCCTCCTAGGCTCCGCCCTCACAGAGGCAGGCCCGCCCATTGGCCTTTGAGGCCCCACCTTCCACCACTAATCCGCCCGCCCCGGGCCCTGCCCTCACCGCGACAGGCCCCGCCCCCCTGGCTCCGGTATCCAGGCTGACAGGCTATGCACTTAAAGCTCCCGGGTTTGTTCTCGCATTTGCCATCCGGGCAGGAGCTGGGGTCCCTGCACTCGTCGATGTCTACACGAAGAGAAAAGGAAGAGGGCCCGTTTGGGGGCCACGGGGTCAATAGAGTCCTCGGAAGGTCTTCCTTCGGTTAGACCAACAAGGGAACCCGCCTTCCAAGCTCCCTAACCCAACCTCTGAGAGGTCCAGTTGGGCAGAGACGAGAATCCAGGCTCCCGCCTAAGCCCAAGACGAGAGACGGCAAGGACCGCTCCCTTCGCCCTGAATGAGGTTTTCCCACCTTCGCATATGGGCGTTCGGGAGGCCTTGAGCCGGTAGCCGGGGTAGCAGTTGCACTTGTAGTGCCCGGGGAAATTCAGGCAGAAGCCGCCGTCTCCGCACAGGTGGGGCTTAGCGCACTCGTTCAGGTCTGAGAGGGAGGAAGAAGTACAAGGGGGTGCGCCGCAGAGGGGGAGCCCCGACGGGTCCCAGGAGTCCGGCCTCGGCCCCGAGCTCACCCACGCACGAGCGCCCCCCGGCTCCGACGTGCAGGCGGTATCCGCGATTGCAATGGCAGTTGTAGGAACCTCCGGTGTTCATGCAGTTGCCCCGTCCCGCGCCGCACGGTTCGGCCTCGCACTCGTTCACGTCTGAGGAGGACCGGAGGGCGGGAAGACGTCAGAGAGAGGTCCGACCGAGGGCTACCTCAGGACCATCTGCCAGGCCACCCGGCCGCCTGCCCGCCCGTCCCGCGCTCACCCACGCAGTAGCGGTGCTGCGGGTGCGACCGGTAACCTGGATTGCAGTGGCAAGAGTAGTCGGAGGGACCGGGGACGCACTCGCCATGGCCACAGATGTTTTGGTTCAGGCGGCACTCGTCAGTCTCTGCGGGTGGGCAGCTAGGTGAGAGGGCTGAGCAGGGAGCGATCACCCTGCCGCGTCCCCAGGAAGGGACCTCGACATCCCATTCCTAATTAATCCAATACCCGAGCCTGGCCTCAGATCCCTGCATTCTCATATTCCAACACTAGGGCTGCTGACACCAGTATTCCAGATAACCCCAATTCCCTGGCTTCAGATAAAGCCCAGATCCCCAGGACCCTGGATACTCCAAGACCCTGGCCCCAGTCTCCCCTAACGCCCTGTCTCCTGGGGACACTGAGTCCCCTTCTCCCCAGTCACCCCATACTCTAAAACCTATAGCCTCAGTCACACCTATATCCTGGATCCCAGGGACCCCAATTGAGCCTGAGCTCCCCATTCCAGAGTAGTTGATTGCCTCCTGAGCCTCAAAGCAGGTGGAGCCCGGTTTTCTGGGAAGTCTGTGGCTTGCTCCAGGACTGTGCACAATCAGATTCAGGGACCCCCTCATGCTCTCTGTCACCAAACCTGTTTCTACCTCTCTCTCTCTTCTTGGTCCCCACTGCCCACCAGCCTCATCTTCAGCCCTTTTCTCCCATGCAGCTGAGGCTATGACACTCTGCGTCGTCCCAAACACCCCTCGTCCATGGGTTCTCCATCTTCTTTCCTAGACTTCCTAACTGTCCTTCCCCAACCCCTAGCCATCCCATGTGCCCCTTCCTCCACATTCCACAGTCCCCTAGGGCTGTCACCAGGTTGTTCCAAGCTATCCAGGCTTTCAAGATTGCCACCTTCGGCTCCTGCCCTCATTCCAGCAGCTCCTTACCACCCAGAGATTCAGTAAGGCTGGAAGCTCCCTTGTGGTTTTAGGATTCACACCAATCTAAGCTTGAATCTGGCACAGCTGTGTGACCTCGGGTACGGTAGAACCTCTCTAGGCCTCTGTTTTCTCACCAGGACAATGAGGCCTAGCAGTGGCCACTTTACAGATGGGAGAAGGTTAAATGGTATTTGTCATTGTTAAGTGCTGTGGAGTCGGTTCTGACCCATAGCGACCCTGTACAGGGTTTCTGAGGCTGTAAATCTTTACGGGAGCAGAAAGCCTCATCTTTCTCCCATGGAGCAGCTGGTAGTTTTGAACTGCTGACCTTGCAGTTCGCAACCCAATTTGTAACCACTACGCTACCAGAGAAAATCTTAAGACAATGCCTGGTATACAGGAATTGCTCAGCTAGCAATTATTATGATGGCCAAACCCTGTAAATACTTCCCACAGCCTCCGGGACTGCACCCAAGGCTTTTAACAAGGCTCACCATGTGCTGGCCCCTCTCTTGTTGAGAAACACTGATCTTTGTGTGGTTTCGCCTTCCTCCAGTGTGTTTCATGCTTTTGACCAGATGAAACATCACTTGGAACGTTGTCCTTTTCCTTAACCTGCACACCTCACTCCCGCTGTACCATTACAATCTTTAAAACCCTGCTCAGAAAGGCGCCCCTTACCGACACGCTACATATGATCACAACCCCTAGACATCCTTCCCTCTTTGCGGATTTATTTTTTTCATAGCATTTATAAGAAATGCTAGATATTGACTTATTGATCTGTTTGTCTACTCTTCAAGGACAACAGATGTTTTTTCTATTTTGTTCACTAATTTCCAGCACCAAACCAGTGCCTGGCAAGTTGTTGCTTCAGATTCATGGAGACCCCATGGGTGCAGAGTAGAATTGCTTCCACAGGATTTTTAAAGCTGTGATTTTTTGGAAGTAGAGTTACATCCTAGGTACTTGTAAGAGGATTTGAACCAACAACCTTTCAGTTGTTGTTGTTAAGTGCCGTCGAGTCGGTTCTGACTCATAGCGACCCTGTATAGAATCGCCGAGGAACAGCGGGTGGGCTTGAACCGCGGACTCTGCGGTTCGAACTGACCTTTCGGTTCAGTGCTTATCCTACAGCGCCACACCAGGACTGGAAAAGAAGGGAAAGGAAGCTTTGGGGCGTGGCCTTACCTGTGACCTGCGTTGGGGCGATCTCCACAGCGCTGCGGGAAGTGGGCAAATCCGGCAAGAATAAACGCACGGTGGGCGGCGAGGGCCGGGAGATCAGCTCTGTAGAAAGCAGCGCAGCCCGTCAGAGAAGGTAGGGGGGGTAGGTGAGCTGATCCGCTCCCAGCAGGCAATGGCAACCTGCAACCCCACTGCCTCCCAGTGACTTAGCCTCTGAGGACTCATCCCTGCAATGCCCAGCTCACCAGGGTAGGGCCTGGCAGGGGCCGTGGTGGCTGTCTGGTGGCTCTGCTGTGCCGATTGCTCCTCGCTCACTGGCTGCGGGTGACAGTGGCCTGAATGCTGAGGCTCCCTTGACTTGCTGCCCCTCCCACTTGGGCTCCCATACTCACTGAATCCGTGGTCACCCCTACAAGGGAAGAAAATGGGGCTCAGTGCTGGCCTTTGGGAAGAAATCTTTTGGGTCAAGAGTCATCAGGGGTTAGATTCTGGGATCAAGGAGTATCTGCATCAGGGGTCAGGAGACCAGGTCTAGGGAATTTCAGTTGGGCAAGGTCCTTAGGTGAAAGGTGAAGGAGTTCCAGATCAAGGTTAAATCCCTGGGCCAGGGGTCAAGGGTTAGGTCTAGGCAGCATTGGGGATGGATCCATGGGTCAAAGAGATGAAGAAATCAAGTGGGTTCTGTGGTCAAGACAATATATCTGGGAGCAGTGGGTGGGTCGGTCAGGGTTAGGAGTTAGGGGTAGACTCTGATGTCATAGCTATGAATCAGGGGCCAAGGCTAGGGGTACATCATTAGTCAGGTAATGGAAGCCCAGACCTCTGTCTTCTTCAGTGTTCTCAGGTGGTGGGGCCCGGCTGGGGCTCTCAGGAAGCTGCTTGGGTGGGCCATCAGGGTGCAGGAAGAGGGAAAAATCACTCTCTCCCTGAATGGTGAGTGTCTGGTGGGAGGTGAGAATGTGGTATCCCTTCCCAGCAGGGCAGATCTCCTTGAAGGCAGCTGTACCAGGGCAAAGAACACAGAGTGAGCGTTCCATGGACAGGCACCCAGACAGCTCCCTGCCTACCCACTCCAGGCTCACCAGTGCCATCAGCAGGGCATCGTTGGCATCGTGTGCCCCAAGCCTTGCCAACGCTGCAGCAACAGAGCTGGCGGGTGAGGCGCGTTGTCAGCGGGTGCTGACACTGGTGCTCGGGGCTCACCAGGCGAAAACACAGGCTCTTCTCTTCCGGCTTGTCCGCTGGGCGGGGGTGAAGGGGTGACGGCATGGGCATCTAGGCCTGCACACAGCCCCTGTCCCTCTTCCCAGCTGTTCAGGCCTTGCTCCTCTGGTTCAGACAACTCCTGAACTTATGACCCTGACCTCCTGTGACTTCTAAAACCTACGTGATCACAGATCCTAGCTGCTGTAAGTCTCAGCACGACTGCACATTCAGCTCCAGACCTCACGTGACCTCTGATCACACTAGCCCACACTCCTCCTACCCATTAAGACCAATGTCTCATCTGACTGATTCCATTGAGTCCCTGACCCCATGAGACCTCTCACCTCGGTCACATGTGATCCCTGACCCCACTTCCTGGGGATCCTACCAGCTGTTGGCCTTGCTCCTTCTTTGACACCTTTGACCTCTTGTGAAGGCTGAGTTGGCTGCTCAGAGCCTTACCCCTCTCACCTGGTCCCCAGGCTCACCAATACACTGTGTGCGGGAGGGACCCAAGCTATGACCAGGTGGGCAGACACAGCGATAGGAACCAGGGTTGTTGAGGCAGTCCCCATGGCGACACATGCCAGCCATTGCACACTCGTTGATGTCTGTGGTGAGGGAGAGCTTAGTTTGGTCCCTCTAGGTTGGGGCCATAGGATGACAACAAACTGTTCCAAGGACCCATGGGTCCTTCTCCAGCCCTACCCCATCCCCTTGTCCACCTTGGGACCTCCCTGATCCTCCAGCCCCCACAATCTCCAGGTCCACCTGTACCCTGGCAGTGGGTGCTGTTGAGTCTCTTGTAGCCCTGGGGGCAGTCAGCTCCCACGTCCCCTCTCAAAGGCCCAGGTTTCTGCACCCCGGTGTCTGTAGAGAGAGGAGAGTATGGCAGAGGAGAGGAGGACTCTGGGGGATGGGCTGTGTGGGATGAAGAGGAGTCTGGTGGGCAGTGAGAGGGCTCAGGGGTGTGCCTGGGCCGGGCCTGCAGCTGTGGCGCCCCGCGGAGCCTGCACTCACACTGCAGTTGGGGGCACTTGTGGCACTTGCTCTGGCCCCAGGCGGTACCGATGCTGCCACAGCAGTCCTCCTGCTTGGTCAGGCCTGGGAGGGGATTGCTGCCACACTGGGAGAGGGGCATAGAAAGCAATCACAGGGAGTCCTTCCTGATGTCCCTGCTCTTTCCCAGCCTGTGGGTGGGGAATGGGGTGTCCTGGACCCCCTGTTTGGAACAATTCCCTGGAGTTTGGGCAGGCCAACCTGCCAAAAAGACAAGGATCAATCCAGCTGGGGCTGTGGGATCACTCACGAGCTGCTTGGGCAGCGTGTCCTGGAAGCAGCGGCCCAGGGGCTTCTGGGTATGTGGCCGGGGGTGCAAGGGTTTGGGGTGAGGCAGCAGGTGCTGGGCGGGGGCCGGGCCTTCGGAGTTCAGCCCCTCAATGCGGTGCACCTGAACCGAGGCCTCGGGCGGGTGGTGCACGCGCACGTTTACCACGGGGGGCGGGGCCTGCACTGGGGGCGGGACCGGCATCGTCAGGGCTGCTCCGCCCCCTGATCGCCAGTCCCGCCCACCTCGACCTCCCAGGGTTGGTACCTTCTGCTGAGATCTGGCCTGGACCGAGAGGCACTAGGAAAGCTGCGTGCTGGGCAGGGGGCCCCTCCCCGGGCCCGGGAGGGTCAGCGATCACCTGGACGGCGTAGATGGCGTGCTTGCTGGCCACAGAGTCGCCCTCCGGGGCCAGGGGCGGCAGTGCGCCAGTGGAGAGGGCCCCGGCGCGGCCCAGTCCTGGGCCTGAGCCTCCGGCACCCCCACCAGCCCCGCCTGCGGGCACTTGGCAGAAGCGACCCGTGAAGTCTGGGGGACACAGGCACTGGTTTCGAGAGGAGCACTGGCCACCGTTCATGCAGGGGAGAGGGCACACCACTGTGGAATGGGAGGGGGGGAGGGTTTCAGGGCCCCATCATTTGTTTCACTCCTCTCCTCCTTTTTCCTACTTCCTTGCCTATCACTGTTTCTGACCCCCTGCCTCCCCCCCTTCGGGAAGCTGGTTTTGGCAACACACCCCTCTCATTGTGTGGGAACTGCCTTCTAGGGGCCACCTTCTTCATACCCACATCATATTGGATATTGGCATCTGTTGGACTTGACCCTTAGTAACTTACTTCCCCTCACTGGGTAGGGCTGTTTGTGCATTAAATGAGATAATGTTTTGTATATGGTCGCGAAATGATGATGATCAGGATGGAGAAATAGCCTTTCCCACCCCCTGGCTCTCAGAGGGCCCTTCCTGGGCCTTTCACCTCTTTCTGGCACGTCTTTTACTCCCTGAACAGATCTCTCCCCCAGTTTTGGCCCATGCTCTGTGGGAACACGCGTGCTCCCATGCTTGCTTTCCCCCTCCATCCGACCTGCAGTTTCATGTCCAACCCCCTCAGTACCCTAGTGCCAATCATGTTCATAACTCCAGTCATAGCCCCCCACCCCTCTGGGACCTCTCTGGTGCAGTACCTTCACCCAAGGGACAGTCTCAGAAATGAGCATCCTGCCCCTATCCCCTTCTTGATCTTGGACCACAAGTGGGGCACTCCTACCTGCCCAGTCTTCCAAATGGAATCTCCATAATTCCCATGATCTATCTCTTTCCCCCTGCCATCTGCTCTGCTCACCCACTCTCTCAGAACCCGCAGAGAAATCCGCTTGAGGCAAAACTCTCACAGAATCACCTTACTTCTTCCTGCTTGACTCTGCCTCCTTGGCATGCAAGGCTCTCCCTCGCCCAGCACCAACCTTCTGAATGAGTGGATGCTACAATCACAAGTATGTACACAGGATCTCTGTCCTTCTGTCACACTCACATGGGACATGTGCTTCTAGCTTTGGGGCCATGACTGATGGACAACTGCAGCCCTCTCCTGCCTGCCCCGAGGCTGTGGGAAGCTGGAGCTGCTCTTCCCTGGTACCAGCGCCCTCCTGGCTTAAGAGCAGCTCAGCTCAGCCCAGCCCAGCCCAGCTGGGCCTGCCTGGCCTCATGGGCCCAGGGCTCCCAGGACAGGAGGGGTGTGTCCTGAGCCAGGGGAGGCAGGATCCTTTCCTTCCTGCCTCCCAGTGAGTCACTCATAGCGGTGAAGATGACCTCCCAGTGACATTCGCCCACTGTGGCCTGGGCGCCGAGCCTGGGGGATGTGGGCAGCATGGATGGAGACAGCAGCCTGGGCAGGATTGCCCAGAACCTGGGAGGCCGTGCACATGGACAGTCACACACATAGTCATCCTGTCACTTATCCACACGCTGTCATCTACACACACACACACACACACACACACACACACACACACACACACAGAGGCATTCTAACATCAACACAGGCACACATAAACACTCCCATGAACTGACTAGTCACTGGAGACACCCTCCCATGACAACACCACAAAGAAACATGCACTTAATCACAGTGTACAACTGCAAAGCCCATGCATGTGCCTACACACACACACACACACACACACACACACACACACCATCTTGTGAACACTAAGTGGGCTTCTGGAGTTTATGAGCATTGGGTCTGAGAGGATGGGAATGTGTAAGGGGGCTGATTTGCTGGTGCCATCCTGGGCCTAGCCTAATTACCCTGTCCAGGGGGATAATTACTGCTGGGACACCTCCCCCAGCCTGGCCCACAAGCTGGGGATTACTGGTCAGGGCCTGAGCCCAGTGCCCGGCTCTTTGAAGAAAGAAAATTCAGCTCCAGGCTGAATTGGGGAGGCCGGGAACACTGGATGGGCCCTGGAGCAGAACTGGCCAGGGCTTAGGGGACGAGGCACAAGTGCGGCAACAGGAAAAGAAGGGACTGAGAACCCAAACCACTCTCCACCTCCAGGCCTGCACCCCACTTCTCAGGCCTCAGTATCTCTTCTATCTCAGACCTTGCCAGTAACTCCCTTCTCTCTCCACCCCCAGTTCTGACCTCAGCCTTTCTCTCAGAAACACAGGTGTCTACTTTTGGCAGTACCTACTTTAGATCTTTAAAAAGACATTTCCTGATGCTTCTAGAAAGTAGCTTCTTGGGGGTAATATTTACTCCTTTTCTGATTCAGATTTCCCAACCTCTTTAAAGTCCTTGTTCTGGCCCCAACTCCCACTCAGAACCCAGTACGTTCCAGTAGTCTGTGCCATCCAGGACCCCAGCACTAACCCTACACTCTGGATCCCAGTCCTAACTTTAAATGCAAAGTCCAGGCCCTCAGGCAGCCCCCATGGATTCTTGTCCTGGGACTAGAGACCCCCATCTCTGTTTCTGGAGCCGGTTCCCCAGTTTCTTATGCCCAAGATTATGCCAGAAGTCCCGCCATTGTCCTGGCGCCTGTCCTCCCCCAGCCGGTGCCCGCTGGCCCTCACCCACGCGGAAGCCGGAGCCCGTGAGCGTGTCGGTGCTGTGGCCGTTCTCTCCGATGAGCGTCATGTTGGAGCCCTGCTGACAACTGTCCCGACACTGGCCCTTGAGACAGGTCCGCTTGCAGATCACTGGCGCAAAGACCACTTTGAAGCGCTCGCGGGCTAGCGCCCCGCCCCCGCCGGCGCCCCTCTCGCTGGCCGGGCCCCCAGCCGCCCCGCCGCCCCGGCCCAGCAGCAGCAGCAGTAGCGCCAGCAGCCCCACCGAGCCCGGCCCGTGCATCGCAGGGGCCAGGCCGCCGGTAGTCCCGCGGGACCCGCGCATCCGGGGCCACGCGACCCCGGCGGGCGCGCTCGGCGCGCGGGGCAGACGCAAAGCCCTGAGTCCCGGCAGTCGGGTCGAGGAGACAGTAGGGGACAGGCACAGAGGGAGCGGGCAGCGGAGGGCAGCGGGGGACAGCGGCGCGGGAGGGGGTCGGGCGGGGGCGGCGATGGGGGCTGGACCGCAGAGGCCCGGGACTCAGGCCGGCGCCGGGCAGCAGGAGGAGCAGGCAGGAAGGCGGCCCTTAGCGCCCGGGGCCGCGCTGCCCGCCCGCGGCCGCCGGAGCAGGCGCGGGGCGACGCGAAAGCGAGCAGTTGTTTTCCCGGCCGAGCGCGGCGGCGGCGCGGGGGCTGGGCGCTGGCCCCTAGCCAGGGAGACAGCTCTTTCTGGTGGAAGCGTCGTCGCCGCCGCCGAAGGAGAGGGTGTGCGGGCGGGGAGGCCGGGGGCGGTCCCCACCCCGTGCCCGCCCCGCCGGAACCCGCCGCCGCCGCCGCGCTGGGTCCCTTCCAGCGGCCTCACCTGGGACCCGCGGCGGCCGGCCAGATTCCTCCGGGTGGGGCCCCAGCAAAGCGGGACACCGAGTCTGGAGCAGGGGAAACCTGGCCTGGCCCGGGTCGCACGCAGACCAGAGGTTGAGTGGGACTGGAGTTCAGGTCCCTCAGCCCTCCCCAGGCCTCCCTTGCCCAAGTAGGGGGTCTCACAACCCCAAACCACTTAACAGCATTGACCCACTACACTCTAGGAAGGGACTCAAAGAGGAGCAGCCTTGGACCAGGGGGGTTCACGAGGTGGAGGAAAGAAGGGGAGCGTTCAACAGTGGAGCAGAAAGAACAAAGCTGGCAGCCCAGCCTCACTGCCAAGCCCCCTGAAAATGGCTTCCCGGTGCCCACCCTCCCCTCCCCCACTTCGTCTGGCCAAGTTGGCTGGGCTGGCTCTGGGCCTCAGACGCTCTGGAATCGCCAGGGTCTGAGCTCAGGGCCTGGCCCCCTTCCCAGGCTGAGAGCCGGGAAGGAGGGAGGGCTCTGTTGGAGGGCCCAGGGGGCTGGAAGGGGGCACAGTGAGGCCCCTGGCCATGGGCTGCCCTGGCCAGGGAAGCAACCTGGAGTTTGCTCGGGGCTGGAGCGGAGCCCACTGGCTTGGAAGGGAGACCAGAGGGAACTACCTGTCCTGGGCCCTGGGCCACATTGTAGGGCCAGGCCAGGAGACCCCAGGTTCCAGCAGTGACTCAGAACTCAGCAGGAGGTGGGGATGACCAGAGTTGGGAAGCAGGACGCTGCCAAGTCAAAGCAGCCCAAACCCCCTCCCGGAAGAAGGCAGAAGCAGAGACAATCTGTCAGGGAGAGAGGGTTCAGGAACGTGGCTTTTAGGCACACCTGTCCAACTAGATCACTGGTTTTATTTTGCAAGGGCTTTATTTGAGTAGTTCTGCAGGAACTGAAGGAGACTCCTTAACGGAGCTCCTGAGTTGATCAGAGGGCCCATATCAGGGGTGAGGCAGGCAATGCCCAAGTTCCCTGGGGCTCCCTACTACTGGAATCTGGGAGAGGCTGTGAGGGCAGACCCACTTTCTCTCAGTGCTTACCACCTTCCTCATCCTCATCCTCATCTGAGCTGCCTCTACTTGGAACAGGCTGTTGTTCACAGCACAAACAGTCCTGAAGCTGAATTGTAACCACTGGAAATTCACTTTTTTTCATCTGTGAAATGGGGTCCTAGCTAATAACAGAGCAGATCCCTGCACTCCTGAAGTTTCGGTCTTGCGGGGGG